ATGCAGGAGCACCCCACCATCCAATCAAAGTGGTCTGTGTGACACAGGCTTCTCAGATCTGGAAGGTATAGGGAAGCTGCACCAACAAGCAGTTTAGGTGTCCCCGGCTCCTATTCCTGCTGCACCGCCCCTTCACTTAACAGCGATCCACAGCATGGCCTAATGGTCAAGACCTGATAGGAACTTGATTAGAAAACTCGTAGCAAACAGCTTGACCTGTGAGCAGACCTTCCAAATGGGCAAACAATGTGAATATCTGTGTACCAGGAAGAAGCTGAGCACAGGGCAACCACAGCAGAAGAAGCTCTCAGCACTCAGATGAACCACATGACCCACTCACTGCACACAAATCCGTCGGCCTCTATCCCCTGACTTCTTGTCCAGATGGGCTCATGCACAAGTGGCTCTGGTGGCAGAGATGGAGGTGGCAGGGTGGCATGGAACTCGGCAATGTGGACTCCACTCATGAAGACTCACCTGCCGCCAGGCACTTCTGAGAGGCTGATGTGCCCCTTCGGGCCCCCGCCCCGCCACCATTTCTGGGACTATCAGCTGGCCTCCTGGCAGCAGATCATTATCACCAGTCCGTGTCCATCATGAGGAGATCATTAAAGTAAATTCGCCTCCTCTCTCCACAGTGCTCCTGCCCAAAGCACCACCCACAGCCTAAGAACACCCTCATCACTGTCACGGGATGCCACACAGCATTGCCTCCAACAAAGAACTCACTTTACAGCAAATGAAGTGCAACAAGGCGTTTGTGCTCAGGAAAATCACTGGTCTTGCCACATTCTCCGCCACTCTGAAGGAGCTGACCCAGTAGGTCAGTAGAATTCTAGGTTTCCTGAATATTCTGCTCTAGTGCCAGCCAACTGGCCACATCCTATGAGTATTATCTGCCGGACCATCTCCGAGCAGTGTATGTTCTGACGCAGTGGTAAGCTTTTCCCATAGCCAGGAGTCACAAGTCCAAGAATCCAGGGGTGAATGGTAGGAGCTCCTCTCACTACTATCCCTGGTGATCCACTAAAAAAATATTTGTTTCCCTTCCCTAAAATTTTGGACTCCACTGGCCTAAGGCAGGATACAGCAATGGTTAAACTGCAAATGGAAGCTGCCACCCAGTTTCTCATCCTACAACACCAACAAGAAAAGAAAGAGGCTACTGCAGTGGCTGGGATGACTGATCCTGATTGAGAAGAAGCTGTCCTCAAACAATGGGAACAGGAAGAACATGTCTGGGACCTAGAAGTACCCCTCAGCACTCCTTCATCCTCCCATGCCCTGATTAATATTAAGGGACAATTACAACCACCCAATACAGAAAGTCCTACTCAGGGCCCAGACCTTTCAGAAACGGAAGTAGGGTCACCCCACTAGTAAGAAACCTAGATCAAACAAGGAGTTTGCTGAGGGTGAGGGGAATATGGAACTGGCAGTACAAGAAGTTATAAATACCAGTGATTGACCACTGACCAGCTGTAAAGATGAAGACTGAACTTGTCATGAGCTTTTCTTCCTTATTTGGATATGGATGTATCTGTCCATGTAGATCAGGTGTCCTTAAACTACGGCCCGTGGGCCACATGCGAGTGTTTTTGCCTGTTTGTATTTTTTACTTCAAAATAAAATATGTGCAGTGTGCATAGGAATTTGTTCATAGTTTTTTTTTTTTAAACTATAGTCGGGCCCTCCAACAGTCTGAGGGACAGTGAACTGGCCCCCTGTTTAAAAAGTTTGAGAACCCCTGATGTAGATGCTAAATCTCTCCTCCCCCTCCCAGGCTCCTACCATCTAATCTAAGAGGTGCTAACAGTAGTCAACCTTCCATGCCAGAATTTAAGTTATTGGCACCAGAAGAGAAAAAAGTGTTACCCAAAGGTTGGATAAAGAGACTCTGTATCCTCTTTGGGGAGTTGGAGAGTTTTCCATTATACAGGCAATAGCTGAATCATGTTAGGATCAAGATGATTTTGCTCTTGTCTTTATTTGGAAATCCAGTGTGGTTAAAAGAGTTGTGCATGGATACCAAACTGACGCAAGCTAAACTGTGCTGGTTTTCTATTGCATCAACTTATCAAGGCTGGAATTAAATTTCCCAAAATCCTCTTTCTTGGATGATTCTGGGGTAGGGTGACGACAGGAGAAATTTGGGAGTGGTGCGGAAGGTAGAGAGGGAGCAGCAGCCCATACGCTCTGAAGGTCAGTGTGGGGTACCAGGTGCCACTGCAGCTTACCCAGGCTGTGGCTCACCTGCCGGCCCACCTTGCCTGTGCTCTCCCCAGTCCTCATCCAGCCTCTCTCAGGCGTCTTCACAGGTTCCCACAACCGCAGACAGCTCATTCCTTCAATAAACCCTTCACTCCGTGACATGCGCAGTGGGTCTGCTTCTCTGAAGATATCATAACTGACAGGGGTCGACAAAACTGTTCAAAGTTCATCTCTAACTGAGGGCAGTAAAATCCTGGGCTGAGCTAACAAGTCCACTCAGTGCTGCTGTCCCTCCAAGGGGAGGTGGCCATGTCCCCAAGCCATCAGCAGAGAGTTAGGAGACATTTCACTAGAGAAGCCACAGTGGCTGTTGTTGTTGACTCCATGTCTCCCCAAACCGAGTTCTTCTGTTCGTCTTCCTTCTGGAATCAGTGCAGCGCGAGCTGCCCACCCGTTGGCAGCTGCGGAACAGCTCCACTGAAGAGGACACGCACATCAGCTATGTGCAGCTTCTCAGAATGAGAACTGACGACGGCCCCCAACATCAAACAGAACCACTCTAAGTTTCCAGCTTGAAAGTACGTTGAGGGAGAGAGGGGAAGGAAAGTGGGGGAAGGCCAGAGAGGCAAGTTCCAAATACTAGGAAATACTCTCACCAAAAGAACACATTCTTTTCTTTACTCATTGCCATTAAAAAAAAAAAAGGAACCTAATGAAGTTTTAAATTATATCAAGCCATTTAATTTTTCTCTTTTCTAATTAATCTGTCTTCCTAAATAGTTGACACTTAGAAATTATTTAAACATATTTTTGCCAAATAGTTCCTAAACTTAAAATTTTCTAGCATCCTTTATCAGAACTATCCCTTTCCAACTCCGAGTGCAACCGCTGCTTACTGGCAGTGGGCTCTCTGCGCTGTTCCGGTAGAGCGGCAAGAGTGAGCCGGGACAGCCCCTTGCCCTTGCACACACAGTCCAGCTGGCACGACTCCTGTATAGCCCCTCTTCACAGACAGATATGCCAGCGAGAGTGAGCCGGGACAGCCCCTTGCCCTTGCGCACACAGTCCAGCTGGCACGACTCCTGTATAGCCCCTCTTCACAGACAGATATGCCAGCGGGAAAATCCACAACGATCTAACAATCAAGTTAGATTCTGCTTTGCTGGAAGCTATGCTTCCTTATTGTCAGGGAAGAGAAAGACCGAAAACACAAAGTCTCTACGTAGCCGAGATTTCAAGTAACATGAAAGCCACTTTAGGATGAAGGAGAGAATTTCCCTACGAAGACAGAAGAGGTTAGAGACCATGGCATGAAAAGTCAATGGACAGGAAGCCTCTTGGTTAAAACGAGCAAGCACTTTTTCACCTTTCACTTACCTATCTTTTATAAAGAAAGCAAAGCAAGCTGGACCCCCAAAGTCGACACACTCAGATACTCTACTTTATCATTTTTGTGAGACAATAGTACAATGCCTGACAGATGCTGACCCCAGATATAAAGCCAACAATTCAAAATACATTCCATAGATAGTCCTAGAGAGGTTTCCAACGTCAGCATGTCATTCTTTCTCTGAACTTGAAAGCTGGGTACTAACGAAGAGGCACGTCTGAGGGTTACCAGCAGGTAACTACCTGGAGCCACGAGGACTACAACTTAGGCAAAATGTTCTGGTAGGCAGGCATGGTGGCTCACATCTGTAACCCCAGCAAATGGGGAGGCCAAGGCAGAGGATCTCTTGAGCCCAGGAGTTCAACATAGTGAGATATCTCCCTACAAAAAATTTTAAAAATTATCTGGGTGTGGTGGCACATGCCTGTGGTCTCAGCTATTCAGGAGGCTAAGGCAGGAGGATCATGTGAGCTCAGGAATTTGAGGCTGCAGTGAGCTATGATTATGCCACTGCACTCTAGTCCAGGCAACAGAGCAAGACCATACCTCAAAAAAAAAATTCTGGTAAAACCTATATAAAAACAAACAAACAAAAATCTATGACAAACGTGCCTATTTGTGTTGCACTTAATTATTTCTAACCTGACAGTCAGCCTGGTAGAAAATGCTCTGGTCATGCCAGGGTGGACGCAGCCCAAGGGGGACACGCTCTACTCAAAGGCTAAGGGGAGGGGGCTGAGGCACTCATGAAAACAGACCGCAAAATGCCGTTTCTCTTCCGCCAAAGGGAACACGCTTCTTTTTTTTTTTTTTTTGAGACAGAGTCTCACTTTTTGTTGCCCTGGCTAGAGTGAGTGCCGTGGCGTCAGCCTAGCTCACAGCAACCTCAAACTCCTGGGCTCAAGCGATCCTCCTGCCTCAGCCTCCCAAGTAGCTGGGACTACAGGCATGCACCACCATGCCCGGCTAATTTTTTTTTTGTATATATATTTTTTAGTTGGTCAATTAATTTCTTTCTATTTTTAGTAGAGACGGGGTCTCGCTCAGGATGGTTTCGAACTCCCAACCTCGAGCAATCCGCCCGCCTCAGCCTCCCAGAGTGCTAGGATTACAGGCGTGAGCCACCGCGCCCGGCCGGGAACACGCTTCTTTAAGGCCTCCAGTAAGGCCTCCCAACCTCCAAGTCACCAGGAAGACCTCAGCGGAACAACGGCCCGGAGGCACTCTAGCCTCTCCCAGCCCTTTCTGGAGTTACGATCTCGGTGGGCTCAGAGTTTGCTCAGCCCTACATCTCTATCGTGTTCCACGATGCTCCTGTTCCCTTCATGCCCAGAAAGGGGCGGGCCCTCCAGCAGTCCTGTAAATAGAGGCCAGCTCACCACACAGAGCCCCCACTCACTTGACGTGATGTACTCCGGAGCTTTTCCAGGGCTCAGGGGCACAGCTTCTTCGTAATAACCTTCTGGGAGGGAGGACGTTGGTAATGGTGGAGGCCCACTGTCAGGAGGCTGCGGGGGAGGAGGGGGGAGAGGAAAAACAATGCAGAAATTAGCATGACTGCTAGAGGGAAATTCTGTACTTCCAGTTAACAGGTTCGAGCCAACATTTTCCTCTTTCCCTTGAAACGTCTACGGCAATAAAGCACCCTGTCCTGTAAAGAGGTTTGGAAGGCCAGTTCCCAATGTGTCTCTGCTACTTTCCTGCTTGCGTCCACCCAGCCCTGATGTACATGCTATACAGTCCTCGCCAACTTGCGGGGCTCCAAAAGTATGCAACACGGCCTTACTCCCGCCTCATTCACCTCCCCTCCCAACACGGGACAGGGCCCTTCCCCAGGTCTGAGAGGGCTGCTGAGCTCATCTTCACCCCCACAATACTCACCCCCCTGCCCCTCCCAGATTAAACGCCGACTTCTCCCCACAGCTACGCCACTTGGGCTGTGAGCTCCCGCAACCCAGCACTGCTCAGGTCTGCCAGGCCTTCCGCACAGAGAAAGCACTGGTCCACACTGCCTGAATCGGTGAGTGACATCTGCCCACATTCTCACCATATTCCTAATATGTGCCAGGAAAACTTTAAAAAAAAGTACGGATCACCTAGGAGCCACTCTCCGACAGAAAGTGGAAGGTATTCTCTGCAGAGGGAATCCGCTCCTTACTGAAACCACTTGTATTGCAGCCTCGTGACAAGCTCAGAGACAGAGGCACTCTCCGGAGGTGCAGTCGGAACCTCGGACTGTGGAAGGGCTGAGGGCTCGTTCCAGGACTATCCAGATTCCACCTGGCCTCCAAGACTCAGGTGAAGTCCCCTTCTTAGCTTAAACTTTCCTGATGGCTCTAATCCACACCAACCTGTCCTTCCCACGAACAGCTACAGGATTTTCTGGCCATGTCTTTCACTGGTCCTTCTGCTGACAGGGAAGGTCAACAAAGGGAAGGAAAGCTGGCATTCACCGAGCACCTGCTGTCTGCCTGGAGCTGTACTAGACGCTTCTGCGCTGTCACAGGGGACACCACTCAATCCATGCAGGAATCCAACAGGGTACTTACTATATACTGCCGTATATTTTACAGCCATAGAAATTGAGGCTCAGAATCTAAAGCCACCTTCTCAAAATCAGACACTAGTATATGACAGAGATGGGGTTTTCAAACACCAGATGTGCCTGCCAAACACATTCTGATACTCATATTCTCTTTCTTTTTATCTATTAATAGTATGCAGCTATTTCACACCATCTATATACTGTAAAACTAGGAAGGGGTGTGTCACAGTGAACAGAACAAGGTCTACCAAGTTAAGGTTCCAAGTAGAACAACATTCCAATGAAATCATGGTTTGTTGGTTTGTTGGTTTTTTAATGTCAACTCTCTAGAACGTGAGCCTCCATCACTTTTCGCGTAACTCAACCCATGAAGTCCTTTGTGGAATACTAACGATCCACAGCACATTCAACCCACTCCCTCCTCTCGCCAGATGAAGGAGAGAGCTCACGCAAGATCACCCGCACCATGTCCCTCTGTGTCCCGATGACAGCTCTCCCACTTCCACCCCAGCCCTATTCCCCAGGCTGAATAGCTCCAACTCCTCTGCACCCCTAAGCAGAAGGCTGGTTTCCTGCACAGTCATCATTCTGTGGTCTGATGCTGGACCACACCCAGGTCATTCATATCTTCCTAAGAAGCAGCCCCTAAAATGGAACTTGACACACCACGCTCAGCACCAGAAGAGGTCTGTGCCGGAGTCCACACCCAGGTTAAAATCTCTGCTTGTTGCTTTTGGAAAAGAATTGTTTGATTCACTAAGTTTCTTTTATTCATGAAATGTAGGTTGTTCCAACTTCCTTTTAGTATGGTGAAACAGTCAAATTAGTCAAGTCCCAGGGAAGCATTACAAATAGTTGAATCAAACAATGCTTATTAAGTAGTACAAGTCAGCCTCCCTTCCTGAGGGCTGCGAGTAACACAACGGTGTTAAGGCAAAGAGCTTACTCTCTAAATGGACGGGATTTCTGAACACATGGTTCCACACCCTGTTGGTGGGTGTGTATCTGGCACAATGTTTTGAGAGATATACCTTTAGATGCAATAATTCCACTTCTAGATATACAGGCCAAGAAGATCAGTTGGACAATGAGAAAAAAAGGTGTAGGAATGTCCAATAAAAATTTATTTACCAAAATCTAAAAACAATCTAAATGTTCTTCAAGAGAGGAATGCTTAGATATATTGTTACATCCACAGGCATTTAATAGGATAATGCATGTGCATAGTCATTTATTTAAAAAAAGCTCTACTAGATATTGCTGAATAAAAGAATACAGGTATACTATGATTCGTTTATATAAAATCTGTGTTTCTGCTTACATATATACAAAGACAGTCATTCACCAAAAATGTTAATAACAGGTACCTCTTTTTTTAATACATACCTGTATAAGTTAGATTTTCTACATGGTATTTATCACTTTTGAAATCATGAAAAAAAATCAAACTATTTTCACTTTGAAAAAATACTCCTGAAAAAATATTAATAATATTGCTAGAAATGCTCTACTCTCAAATACCATTTATCCTTGAAATCTGCCACAAAGGTTTCAGACACATGTGGCTCGTTAAAGGTCAAACAGGAGAGTTTGAAAAGAGAAATCCAAACTATTATTCAGTGCCAGAGCTTTCAGGTGAAAAAATGTTTTCAGCTCTTTTCCAATAGGTAAGAATCCACTGAAATCACAATTAACAGAAATTTTAAAAGGTACAAATAGGGAAGACAGGTTTTCAAACGGGATCACAGGAAACCAGAGGACAGGCAGGAAACAAGAGCGTACAATGAAGAAGAGAGCGACTCGGACACACAGCATGTGTCCCGTCTAGGTCCCGTGCAGCTCCCTGGTCTGTGCAACGTTCCCAGAACTCTGAGCCCAAGTTTCCTCGCCTGTAACGACGGTATTGCATCATAACAGTCTCCAGAATCTCCAGTTCTAGTATTCTTATAAAGTTACAAGTCCAGGCCAGGTACGTAATCCCAGCACATTGGGAGGCCAAGGGGGGAAGAAAGATCACTTCAGGCCGAAGTGTGAGACCAGCCCAGGCAACATAGTGAGACCCTATCCCTACAAAATATTTAAAAAATTAGCCAGGCATGGTGATATGCACCTGTAGTCCCAGCTATTCAGGAGGCTGAGGCAGGAGGACCACTTGAGCCCAGGAGTCAAAGTTTACAGTGAGCTATGATCACACACTGCACTCTAGCCTGGGTGACAGAGCAAGACCAAGTCTCAAATAAAATTGCAGGTCAATAGGCAATAAAGCCAACTTTACGTTATGAGTGAGAACTGACCCTGTGTACATGAGCATCTCTGATCAGAGCAGATCCTTCAAATGCACCTGGTTTTGATAGTAATGCTACTTAACGACCTTAAGGTATTATAAACTTCTCCTTTAAGGTCTCCTCCAGGTCTTATTAGAGAAAACCGGTACTTACAACAGCACGGTAATATGATTTATAGGCTTGGCTGGCTTACAATACTGGCCATAATTTTAATTCCCACCTTTTGGGGAAAAAAAAATCCATTAGTATTTACTTTTGCTACTTTAAGAATAAGCCACACAGAGAATTCTTTTCCATTAGTAATAATAATAACAATGAATTACTATGTTCAGAGAATTATGTGGTATAAACACAATAATAATTATTACCACTATTACTACAGGTTGAGTGTCCCTTATCTAAAATGCTTAGGACCATAAGTGTTTCAGATCTAGGATGTTTTTGGATTTTGAAATATTTGCATTATAAACTTAATAGGTGGGCATCCCAAATCCAAAAATCCTAAATCAGAAACGCTCCAAAATCCAAAACTTTTTTTGAGTGCCAACATGACACTCAAAGGAAATGCTCATTTTGGATTTGGGGATTTGGGATGCTCAACCTGATTTGCTGTTCGCCTACTACGTGCCAGGTGCTGTCCTGGGATACTTTATGTATGTATTTTCTCTCGTTCAGGAAGTAACACTGAGATGTCAGTTTCAACTGTGATTTCACAGATGAGGAACCTAAGGCTGAAGAGATTCAAGGCCCTAACCTGGCTCCACCCCTGCTATCTGGTAGTGGAGAAGCCAGAAGGCAGCCAGAGCGGGCGGGCACTGCCTGCTAACGGGGCTCACTACTGCCTCCCTCAGCACCTGACACACAGGGGCTGGGCGGACAGGATGGAAGGAAGGAACTAACCAACCTGCTGAGACTGCTTTCCATAGCACACAGCACAACCGGATCCGGATCCGTTTCTTAAGGAAAACTGGCCTTCCACGCCGTTACATTAGCACCAACGCCTCTGCACCTGCTGGCGCTCTTCTCACCTGGCACCCTGCTTCTCTGCTGCTGCCCACAGCTTCCCTCCTCCTGGCCTGATTATTACTCAGTCCTTTCCACCAAAAAAATGCCAATAAATTATGAGACCTGATCTGAACTAAGAAAAATATAAGCCTAGAATTTGGACTCACTTTCTGACTTTAATCCTATACATACAGTGCTGCATACAAATTCTGTTTTTCTGGTTACAGTAATTAAAACCTGCTAAGAGTAACAGTCAAAAATTATATACTCTGAAACAAGAAAATGAGTGTTCAAGTTTTAATTCCATCACATTCCAGCAAAACCCTTTTCTAGCCAGCCCGAGTATTTAAGCAGCACTGCATGACATTCGTGCCATAATCTAAAATTCCTGGGCCACAGCTCATACTTTAAGAAGGTATCGTGCTGCCGAGGGAAACGGACGATTGGATTACAGTCATTTTCAGTGGATAATAATATTTTTATATTAATAGTTTAAACTGTAAAAATGGTTTCAATCCTAACACCAAGAATTTTGTACGTACTCTTCTTGGCAAAATAAAAGTCTTTATCCAAATTACACACCATTCTGTTCTGGTCACTATTTAATTTGCATTCCACACAGCACTTGAGTAAACACTGGGAAAATAGTCACACATATTTTTCTTAAGTTTTC